TTGGGATTATGTTTTCCAATGTGCATTACTTTGCATTTATCAACACTGAATTTCATCTGCCATTTTGTTGCCCAGTCACCCAGTTTTGTGAGATCCTTTTGTAGCTCTTTGTAATGAGTGAAACTGGTCAAGCAGTTCATTGTAATTGACATTTATTGAGGATATTTTATCTACCACTTATTTGTAAATTAATTTTTTGGTTATTCATCAAGCTCTGTGTGTCAGTCCATCTTCACATTAGACACCCGAGGGCATGTCTACACTACAAAATTCAATTGCCCTCGCTTAGGCTGGCGTACAGCCACCGCAGTAATTACATCGCTTGTGTGCGTGTCTACATTTTGCTCCTTGTGTCGACGGTGCATGTCCTCACCGGGAGCACTTGCACCGATGGAACTGTGATTATTCCCCTCTGTTCGGCACTGGTGAGGCCACACCTGGAGTATCGCGTCCAGTTTTGGTCCCCCCACTACAGAAGGGATGTGGACAAATTGGAGAGAGTCCAGCGGAGGGCAATGAAAATGATCAGGGGGCTGGGGCACATGACTTAGTTCTGGCAAACCCAAATTTTAACAAGCTCTTTATGGTGTTCACCAACGCCTCAAACACAAAACTGGGGGCGGAGTTAATGCAAAAAAACCCCACCCAATCGTGTACCTAAGCAAAAAGTTGCTACCCCAAAAGCAAAACTACGCGGCCATCAAAAAAAAAATGCCTGGCCTTGGTGTAGGCCCTTAAAAAACTAGAGCCATATCTCTTTGGGCAACACTTCACCGTGCACACCGACCACTCTCCCCTGACCTGGCTGCACCAGATGAAAGGAGCCAACGCCAAGCTCCTGAGGTAAAGCCTGCTCCTGCAAAATTATAACATGGACGTGGGCCATGGAAAAAAAAGTGCCAACCTAATAGCAAACGCGTTGTCCCAAAAAGGGGGCCCTGAACTGCCCCAGGTCACTGGTCGAAGCAACCCCGCTCAGTTCAGTCTCAAAAAAAAAAAAGTGATGGAGCAGGGAGTGGGGCGGATTTGACCGGGGAATGTTGCAGGGGAGTTACATTGGGGATGGGAAGGAAGCTACCTGAGTTATAACCTGAGCCGGGAGGGGGGTTGGGAGAAGTGACACCTTCTGCCCCAGAGACGGAACAAAGGAGAGAAGGAGCAGAGGGGAGGGGAGAGAGGTGCTGGAGGAGTTTGGAGTTTCAGTTTGGGCTGGGTGGTGCAACGCAGGGAACCCCAAGCTGGGATCTAAGCTCCCTGAACCCCCCAGAAGGACTTGATTGAGCGGTTCTGGTTGTACCTACACGCTCTGCTTGGGACTGTGTTCCTGTCATCTAATAAACCTTCTGTTTTACTGGCTGGCTGAGAGTCATGGTGAATCCCAGGAAGAGGAGTGCAGGGCCTTGACTCCCCCACACTCCGTAACAGGGAGGTCTAGGTTGGATATTAGGAAAAACTTTTTCCCTAGGAGGGTGGTGAAGCACTGGAATGGGTTACCTAGGGAGGTGGTGGAATCTCCTTCCTTAGAGGTTTTTAAGGTCAGGCTTGACAAAGCCCTGGCTGGGATGATTTAGTTGGGGATTGGTCTATGATTCTATGAACTGTCAGTGTGGGGCATTGCAGGGCGGCGTCTGAAAGCCAGCAACAGTCGATGTAAGCAAGGCAGCGTCTTCACTGACACTGCGTCGACCTAACGACATCGACCGCGACTCTCCGCCTCTCGTGGAAGTGGGGTTATTATGTCGCTGTAGCGGGCACGTTATGTTGGGAGGAGTGAAATTTTAGTGTAGCCCTTTACAGCGTTCGGGGGACGTCAGCTGCCTGGCATCGACCTGACACTGTGTGTAGCGCAGGGCTCAGTCGTTAGTGGGAGTTCCAACTCCTTAACATACCGGTGTGTGGGCTTCTCCTAACAGCACATTAAACACACTGGGGGCAGGTTGGCAGCAAGACCCCTGTTTAGTAAAGGTCCAACCCAGTTCCCACGGAGGTAAACAGCCTCATTGACTTCACCAGCTTGTCAGAGCAGAGCTAAGAGAAGAGTTTCTTTGCGGGGGGGATGGAAGACAGCTGGGACCTGCTGAATAGAAGGAGCAATAGGGATTAGGCCATGTACTAATAAAAGTGTAACCCTGCTTTGGGACAGGCGCCAAACATTCACTGAACAGCCAGCAATGTCTCTGCACCTGCCAGAAAGACCCCCACAGACCTGTACAGGTGTATGTGTGATGGAGGAGAGTTAACATTTTTAAAGGACGGTTTTCCATTGTTCAAAATACATACGTACCAGTCGGTTCTATGCCGAGAGCAAGTTACCATTAAAATACCCTTTTTAAAATCAGCATTTCCCAGCACTGTCCTGCACTTCTGTCCCACTAAGGCCTGGTCTATATTACAAATCTCTGCCAGCACAGCTCCTAGTGTAGAGCTGTGTATGCGGCCAGGGAGAGTTCTTTTCTTTTGGCCTAGTTAACTGGGACACTGGGAGACCAGGTGCCAGCTCATGCCAAGGTGCCATGTGTCAACTCAACACTGACAAAGCCGTGGCTGGAACCAGGCTGGCTCACCTGCAGGCTAGAATTGTTCGAACAGGTGTCAGGATTCCAAGAATGTGCTTCGTGTTTAGCCTTTATGGCTTGCTCGTGAGTTGCTGCCGGCATATCTAACATCTGTATCCCCTCTTGCAAGGGGCTGTTTGAGCGTGTGAACCTCTGTGACCGTATAAATCACCAGGCAGGAGAGAGACATTAAGCAGTGTGAAGTGCTGCTCTCCGGAGGAAGGCGTTGCATCCTGCCGCACAGGCTGGCCCATGGGCACCGGACGGACTAGAGTGAAACATTAGAGAGGACAAAAGCCTTTGTTGCTCTGCTCTTCCCCCACCCCACGAAGCTGAGTCATGCCAGTGGATTCCTCTCATTAGCTGAGTCCACAGCTCAGAGCACATGGGCAGGGGCGGGGGGGGGGGGAATAAATACCCCTGACAGGGAGAAACTGGATCTCATTGCTGCTTGGACTCGGGGAGGGGGGGACAGGTTTCAAGGCATAAGCAAGAGATCCCCAGTGCTCAGGCTGGGTTAGCCCTAAAGGACGTATGGAGCTTGCTTATCATAGAAGCGTCTATTCACTTTTGAAACCAACAATTAAAGCTCATGTGTGTATGTAATTTGCCGGCTTTAACCTTGTCAATAACGCTCATGTTTCCCTTGCCTATTAACAAATCTGTGTATAGTTTATTAAAGGCCTGGCTACAAGCGTGGGCTTCGGTGTCAGAGCTAAAGCGCAGGGCCCTGGGGTGAGGACGGGTCCTTTGGGACAGGGAGTAACCTGACTATTGCTGTATCCTTGGGGGAAGGGCCCAGCTATCTCCCAGGTGGCAGGACAGACGGGGGGGCCCACGGGGCCTGTCTGTGACTCCCCGGTTAGGCTGTGGTAGGGTCTGAGGAGCTCACACCTGGTAACTGGTTGGTGAAATCGAACACAGAACTCACAGCCAATGTGGGGCTGGTGCCGGGTTCCCGGCCCTCTGCCCTGCGGCTGGTACTGACGCCCCGGAGTCACGGCAGGCAGCGTTACACTACCACCCCCCGCCGACCGACATTAGCTCTGCCGACAGATGCACTCTTCTGTTGACATAGTTGTGTCTACACTGGGGGCTTTCTTGGCACAGCTACGGTTATTCCCCCCCCGCCATCCAACGTAATATAGACCCAGCCCAAACGCAGGGGAATAACTGCGCTCTCACCTATCACTAGGTGGCAACTGGTAGCCACAGGAAGGTAGCCATTCACTTATGCTGAAAGAGAAGCAAGCGCTGTAGGCAGGGGTCAGAGGGCTGGCGATGGTGAGTCCCGGGAGGAGGTTTTGTTCTGGTTCTTGCATTTGCTCAGGAAGTCGAGGTCGCTGGTAAGTTTTGCTTCCTTTTTCTTCACCTTGTGGAATTTCCATTCAGACGGCAACATCCAGCATCTCCCCCGGTTCTAGCATTGCAGCTGCGGCTGTGCTGGGCCCGGGATATCATATGCTAATACCCGGTGCCGACAAAGCTACAACTCCACTGCAAAAAGCAAGAGTTCCAGTCGGAGAGCGGGGCCAGGAGAGAGCGGGAGCCCGGCTTGGCCAGCAGAAAACTGAACCAGCTGGGGAAAGCAGCAGGTGAACACCACGGCCGGGAGCTCTATTTTCTACCGCTCCCCTCAAACAAGGGCAGGATTTTGCTAGATTGCTAAGCACGAGCCCTATTCACATAGCTCCCCGCGAGGCTAGTTTTAATTTCAGGCTTAAATCAGTTATATCGAGAATGTATCTGCTTTCCCAGCTCAGGGAGCATTATTCATAACATGGCAAAGGAAACCGGGACATTGTGACCCTGCCCTTCAGAGCCCAGCGGGAGAAAAAGACCAAGCATTTAGGCTGCCCTGCAGACTGGTGACCCTCCCTCTACCATGAGTCCCAGTCAGCAAACCAGGCTCAGCCAGCCACGCCCAGGACTATGAGCGTCCTTAAAAAAAAGAAAACACCGCAGGGAGGGGGGGTCACGAGTGCCTGGAGAGTCACAAGAGGGGCCCTGGTAAGGAAATGCAGAGCAACCCTGAAATATACACACTGATCTGCAAGCGGTTCCAGAAAGAAGAGATCCGACCACATCCAGCCGCACAAAGTTTTGTATTATTTGGAGTTGGCTACAAGACTTCAGTGTTGGAAACGGGGCCAGAGAACTCCTGAGTACATTCACTTTATTTTCTGTGACGTCCAAGAAAGGCGGCTTAGAGTTGCAAGGCATAACGACAAAAGGAAACTCCATTAGTGCAGTTGTGTGTACCTGCTACAGCTGCGTAGCGCATGCTACTGAATTCACATGTTTTCCTATTATTGTTTCATATGTGCAAACTCTACCATAGACAGACCAAACCTATCAAGAGAGACTTTCATATGATGAGTCTGATCATAAGGCACTCGTTTTGTCGTGTCGTTTGGACATTAGATGCTCAGCTGAGGTCATTTCTCCAAATGTTAATCTTTAATCAGCAGAATATTGGCCCTTCATCTTCAGACTTTATTACTTTGCATGCAAAATAGCAGTTTAAACCCCTTTGTTGTTTTACTCTGCAGTTCCAATAGGGTGTATACTAAAAATAGTTGCATTCCTGGTGATAACTGTTCTCGATTACGTTCCCTATGCACTTTCAGACAGAAGGTACCAAGTCAGTGATCCATGTCCATGAAGTCACTTGCTTATGTAAACATCATTGCATTCACGCAGTTCAACTAGTTACCTAAAATACTGGTGGCACAACCCGGAGAGCAGGTCAGATTATGAATTATGTATAGAGTTCTGTAAAGAAACTGCCCTGAGTTATTTGGCCAAGTAGCATGTGCTAAGAACCAGCGATACTTACTAACCCTGCTATTCAAAAAACCAAAACCCAACCCACACTTGGTTGTGCAGCCAGGAGCTCTGGGTTTGTCTACACAGGGAGTTACTCAGGAACTGCTCTTCTCAAAGAACGGCCTGTGTAGACAACTCTCTGGTAGCTTTCCCAAGCCCTGCAATGCACTACACCTCACTAAGTCTTCCTGTTCTCAAGGGCCTCCTCCCCCGGGGAATAGGGAAATGGGGGCGCACAGGCAAGGGCCAGCGTACCTATGTGTTATTGTGCTTTCAAAGTTATTATTCAGCCTTAAGCTGAATAAGAACCAGCCATCTCCTGAATGCCAGGGCAGCAAAGGTTCTACAACAAATCACCTATCAACATATGCAAGAGGTACAATGAAATCTAACCCCCTATAGAGTATTCAGAGCAGGGGAAATCCATTTGGCAGAGTAGGCCTGGTCTACGCTAGGAACTTCCAGTCTAGCTGTGCCTGTCAGGGGTGGGGGAAATCCACATTCTGGAGCGATGTAGCTAAACTGACCCAGCCCCTGGGGTAGACACTGCTAGGTGGACAGAAAAATTCTTCCATCAACCTAGCCCCCACCGCTCGGGGAGGTGGATTATCTCCGCCCATGGGAGCCTAGCAGTGTCTGTGCTGAATTCCTACAGAGGTGCAGCTCCAGCATTACTCTACACTAACCACCTGCATTTGACCAGAGTAGCCGTTATGGTCAATGACTTCAGAAAAAGAGCTTTCAGCGAAGCAACTTGAAGTCTGCCTTGACCATGGCTTATTTGTCCTTTTGTTACTGTAACTCCTACAGCCAGCCAGCCATTGGCGCATGACAATTAATGCTCAGAGGAAGAAAAAAGACGAGTTTCTAGGGAGACCTTGCTGTTAACCCCCACCCAGGAGGGAAATGGATTGCAAGTGATCCTGGTTTAGTGTAATGACTCCGTCTCCCACTCCACTTCAGTTACATGGCATGACACCAGTTCTTACAAACCAGTTCTCTGGGGCCGGACGTCACCTATGTGCTGCTCCGTGACAATCAGCACCGTAGATAAACCCAAACCCAGAATAATTATTTCTATACATCCGCCAAGCCAAGGTTGCCAAATTCACACACCTCAGCCTTAGTCCAAATGGATGAACAGTTTAACAAAGGGAGAAAATACTTCCAATACAGCCTCCCGGCAGCAGACAAATGCCTGGTGCAGACAGGAGAGGCCCAGGAGAGGGGAAGAGATGCTGCAGCCAAGCAGGGAGAGGGCTGGCAGCATTGGCCACCAGGGCTCAGGCTGTCACCTGCCCTACAGCAGAGGTCCCTAAACTGTGGGCGAGTCCCCCGGGGCGGGGGGGTGTGCAGCCCTGCTCCGCTCCCAGCTCCGACCCCAGCCGCGCTCCCAGCCTTAGCTCCGTCCCTGGCTCCAGCTGCAGGCCCAGCCTCGGCCCCCTTCCCCCGTCCATGCCCCCCCCCCCCGGAGCTGTGGCACTGGGGCGGCCGGGGCGAGGGAGGGCGAGCCCCTGAGAAGTTCGGGGACCCCTGCTCTACAGCCCAGAGTGTTTGCCCGGAGTGAGACGGGGCAGCAGAACGAGGGCTGGGCTAGACCTGCCATGGGAGTGGCTGGGCCCTGCGTCAGAACCGCCAGCCCCCAGCGATCAAAACCCATGAGTCTGACCCTCAAACATCCGGAGCTTGGCCCAAAAAATCATGACTTAAAAAGAAGAATCCAGTGATGTTTGGGGTCTGTCTTTTGCCTTTTTAACTCCCCTCCACTCCTCGGCTGGGCAGCGGGTGAGAATTTTGGGGTGAAATATCACAATGCGTCTCTCCTGGCTGGAGACTCCCTCCCCCTGACCGGGGGCAGCCAGCCACTTCCCAGCACGGTCTTCACTTCTCCGCCTCCTGCTGCCCCAGGGGTCCTCTGTGGGCGGGTCTCAGAAGCCCCAAAGCCCACCTTCCAGGCTCCTCTCTCTGCTCTAGGGTCACACCCCGGAAGGGCTCATGGCAGGTCAGGTCTGTGTCCTCAGCCCTGCTGCTCTCGTCCAGAGCTCTGCCCGCCTGCCCAGCCCTGAAAGTCCTGGGTGTGAATCATGGCTTCATGACAGCGCCTCCTGCAGGCAGCAAACTCCCAGGACTGAGAGCTGCTGATGCGGTAACATGGCCTTCCCCTGGCCGCTCCGAGGGGATGCCCCTTCCCCCCACACATGCAGGCTGCGGGAGCTGATATCCGAGCCCCTCCATTTCCCACCCCATCACTGGCCCCTGCACCACCCCGTACCCCCCACCTCCCCTGCAGCCCCCAGCCTCCCACTTGCACCCAACATCCCCTGCACCCCATAACTCTGCATCTTCCTCCCCTCACTTTCCCCATCCCCCGCTCTCTGCTGCTCCTCACAGTCCCTGTGTCCCATCCAGCCCCCGGACCCACATTGCCTGGGGCACAGCTTCAACCTCATACAGAAGCGTGGGAGATGGCAGCCATCTTTATTAAGGGCAGCCTCCTTCCCACATGCAGCTGGACTAGAGGGAAACGGTGGCCATCTTGCTGGCTTCAGCCCCATTGACGTGAAGTGAGGGATGGCCACTTCTTTGAATAAGAGAAATGAGGGGGCTGGCACCTCTGCCCCCTCCTCGTCTTCCAACAGAACCTGCCTCCTTCTCCTGCCCCATCCCATGGCTTTATGGTTCCACCCTGCTGGTGGGGTCTCCTGCCGGCACTGGGTCTCTCCCAGTGAAGGAGACCCCTTTCCCCTCTCGGCAGATGGGCAAAGGGGGACTGGATGCCCTTAGGATAGAGGTGGCTGAACTGTGGCCCCAGGCCCCCCTCCTCCCATGTTATGTAGCCCATAGAGACTACAAACCCCAGCACGCGGCCGGGATCCACGGGTGGGCCCATTGGCTGTGGGGTCTGCACCTACTTCTGTGTTACAAGGTGTGTGTGTGGGGGGCTGTTCTCTGTACCAGGCTGCCTTAGCATGTTCGGGGGGGAGGGGCTGCCAGCTCGATGCCCTGCCTTGGAGAGGGGTCTGTCTCGATAGCACAACCCCCCCTTCCCACCCCTGGCTGCTGGATTCCTCCTCCCCTCCCCCATGCCCAGGGTACAGAAAGAGCAGGCGGGGAGCCAGGGTGAGGGGCTCAGTCGATGGGCCGAAACGTGAGCAGAGGCGGCTTCTCCGGCATGAGGATGAACCCGAAGACGGTTTTAATATCAGCCTTGGACACCGTGTCGATCCGGAAGTTCCGCAGGACCTGAAAGGAGACGGACAGCCGGTGTGACACCGGAGCAGCTTGGGCTGGGATCCGGCCAGCTGGTCTGAGCCACAGCAGGGCTGGGCTGCGGTGTGTGGGGCTGGGAGACCCAGATGCTGCAGGGCGTGGGGCTGGGAGGGGATTGCGCAGGGGCATTTACTGGCTCATTTCTGCTGGTCACTCCTGACTCAGGGCTACGGGGCCTGCTCAGTCCAGGGCAGACGGAAGAAGAAGAATGCAAGCTCCTAAATCCCCTGCCTGAGGGATGAGGAGCAGAGCAGGGGGGAGCCCTGGAATAGGTAAGGGGGCTGCGGGTCAGGACTGAGGCACATAGTGCAGAGCTGAGGGGAGCCCAGGGCAGGGATAGCAGGGGACAGTGGGCTGGGGCTGGTGGCCGAGCTGCGTGGGAAGGTCACAAAGTGACAAATACTTTCTCCTTTTCTTGAAGTACCAAGAAACAAGTTGAGTTGTGTAAAGTTTGGCCAACGTACAGTGAGAGCCCCGTGAGCTCGGGCCAGCCCCAGGCCTGCCCCCAGGCTGCCCGGCTCTCCGCCCTGCCACCTCTCCCCAACTCACGTGCATGAGGAACAGCATCATTTCGGTCTCTGCCAAGCGGCGGCCGATGCACTGCCGGGCCCCGAAGCCGAAGGCCAGGGCCTTGAAGCTGTTATCCTCCTTGCTTAGCCAGCGCATGGGGTCGTAGCGCTCCGGGTTGCTGAACACCTCCGGGCTCCGGCCCATGGCGTACAGCCCCACCTGGCACAGGGTCTGTGGGGCAGCAGAGGGGAGAGGGTGGCCACTAGGCTCCACCAATCAGATGCAAGCTTGCTTGCACACAGAGAGCTGATTGGTTTATACCTCCGTCATTTCAACAGCTGCTGCTTTGTCCAACAGAAGTCAGGGGCTGACGCAGGCCATGGGCCCTTGTGGGAGTGCTTTAACGTCCCTGCAATGTATCAGCAAAACCCAAAAACCAAGAGCAGCGGGGGGAGGGGAAGGGGAACTCGCCATGTAGCTGTTGAGGGAGCTTCCCCTCCCTGCCTGTCTCACTCCCCCACAGGGCAAGGAAGGTGGAGGTCAGAAGGCTGCACCCCAAGAGTACTGGCTCCCCCGGCAGAGAGAGCGCCTCACTGACCCCCCCCAGCCCTTCAGCTTGGCCCCATCCGCTTCCCCTGTGAAATATTACTCAGGTCCCCCAAAAAAGTCAAAATTGAGGTTAAAAAAATTGGTCAAATGTGACTAGTGGTTTGATCAAAAGCCAGGATTTTTTGTGGCAAATCAGGAAAGGGCTCGGTCCCCTGCCGTACCCCATCACACGCGGCGGGGCAGTTCTGGTGCCCTGCCCCCTGTCACGGCTGGTCCCTGCAGCTTCGGGGGGCAGAGTGAGAAGCCCTCGTGTGCTGGGGCAGTGGTGCAATGCTGTGGATGGGGCCTGGGGTGTGCTGTTCCCTTCCAGACCCCCAACGCTCTTCTAAGCACAGAGTAGGAGTTCTTGCTTTGTGATCCGCATGGGCGTCTGAGCAGCCAGCCTGACCCCCGGGCCAGTGAGCCTCCCCCCTTCCTGGGGGCACCTCCCGGCTGCAGAGAATGGGGGTGGGGGCGGAGGAGCAGGGACTCACCCCAGCCGGCACGCGGTAGTTCTGGAGCACCACGTCTTTGGTTGGGTAGCGCTGCACCGTGATGCCCACAGGGTAGAGCCTGCCAACAGAGCCGCACCATCAGCTGGCTGCCCCGCCACCATCTAGACAGCTGGCCTGACACTGCTCAGACCAAACGGCCCCTGGGGGGAGCCCCACGTCACTGCCGCTGCCTTTCATTCACCCACTGGTGCGGCTTAGCTTTGAACCCCGCGGATCCAGCGTTCCCTGCTTCCGGCTGCCCTCCTCATCCCGGATCAGCCGCCGGCCATCTGTGCCCCACAGTGTCTGCCATGCCCACGCCCTCTTCCCGCTCGTGCCTGGCCAGACCCCACGGCTGTAGGGCCCGCTGGGCTGGGCTGCCCCCCGAGTCCTGTGCCCGGAGAGCCACGTCCCCAGCACTCCCTGGACGGATGCACGGGCACAGGCAGGCGTTTTAGCCCCAGACCCAGTGCCTGGCATGATGGAGAAGTTGCCCTTGGAGCCCCAGGCAGCAGAGCCCACCCTCCTTTCCCCATGGGCCCCGGAGGCTGTGCCCTTGGCCCTCACCTCAGTGTCTCCTTGAGGGCGCTTTTGAGCAGCGGCATGGAGTTCAGCACCTTGGAGAGCTCCCGTGGCCCCTGCGACTCGGCCTCGGCGATCTCCTGGCGAATGGCCGTCTGGACGCTGGGGTTGCGGGCCAGCTCGAAGAGGGTGAAGAGCAGGGGCATGGCAGTCTGGGCCAGAGGGGACAGTCAGAGCCGGCCCACCCCTGTGCCTCACCCAGGGGCGCAGCATGCTGGGCACAGCCACAGCGGCGTCTCCCTGGGGCCTGTGCGGGACGGTCCCAGTTGCGTTGGCCAACCCAGTGTTACCAGCCACTGAGACATCCCCGGCCTTGTCGGTCTGAGTCACGATCTCGGAGATGCAGCCTCAGCCTTCCTCTGCTCTGTCCCCCCCACCCCGTTCGCTGCGCTCTAGGCCTGTTCCCCCTGAATCACCCCACTCCCTCCATGGGGTTCAACCCCCCTGGGTCACAACAGACCCATTCATGTAGGTGCTTCCCCCTCGCCCCTCCGGCTCTTCCCAGAGCATTGTCCAACATGGCCACCTCCTTGCAGGTTCCAGGTGCCCTGAGTTGGGTGGGGAGCCCGGGGGAGCCCTGCAAAGCCCCACCGAGAGGAGCTCTCTGCCTAGGCAACCTGTAGATAAATCTCTGATAATTTTCATATGACTTTACATTGTGCCTCTTCATATAACCTTGTGGTGGGTCTACCCACGTGTGACCTCTGTTTTCATGGGACTTTGTATCAAAGCCTCATTCAGAAACTTTGCATTGCCCTTGGTATAATATTATAGCCCCTAAGGATAGAATAAGATAGAAGAAAAATTTCTTTTTGCTAGGAGTAGAACAAGAGCTCTCTCCCCCTCCCCCCCACTCTTAATCAATTGCCCTGTTGAATGAATGAGGTGTGGATGAGCAAGGCATGGAAGGCAGCACCTCCAGACAGCCTCAATTGTTGGAGAGGGGCTGGGAGCCAGACCCAAGGACAATAAAACGTGTCAAGTGGACTCATTAAAGACAAGCAGACATACCGAAGGCCTCGGGGGTTAGAAGCAAGCACCTTCTTTTGAAAACACCCTCTTTGCAGCATTGGGACAACACTCAAAAGAAAGCAGCACAAAGGACCAATGGACACAGACACAGAGTTTGAATCTGGTATAGATTTGCATAAGAGGAAAGCTGCTATAAAAGTGAGGTGTCTTGCAGAGGACCCCAGGTCTCGTCTTGTCAACATGGGAGCATCGATCCGGATCTGCAGAAGCCCGGCTCCACCCCCTCCCCCATCTAACTCACCTGGCCAGTGAAGTAAAGGGGAGCAACTAATTGGTAACAACAAGACGGAGTGTGTTTGTGTGTGTGTGTGAGTGTAAGTGTAATATATTATATGCATATGATACAGTGTTAATGAATACATGTATTACTAATAAATGTGGTGTTTTGTCTTATTCCCCCTGAAAAGATCCTGTGCAGTACTTTAAGTACAACAAACCCCCAGACACGCTGTGCCCCTTTGCTGAGTCAGGGCCTGTTTGTTGCCCTCTTAGTCCCTCAGCCATTCCTGCTCCCCTCACTGGGGGTCTGGTTCACCCCCCCCCATGAGTATTATGCAGGTCTCTGGCCTGAGTCTAGTATTGTTCCCCCAAGCCGGTCTCTGGTTTCTCCAGGGCCCCCAGGAGCATTTCTCGGTCCTGTGGAGTTAGTCACCGCCGTGCTGGCTGCTCGTGAGGGTCTCTAACCGGCCCAACCCAGGGCTGAGGCCTGCCAAGCCCTCGCCAGGCTGACTGGGAAGGACACCAGGGGCCTCACTAACATGCCAATCTCTCCCACGAGGAGAGCTCCCAGACCTGAGTGGGGATAAAGCCAACAGGGCCCCACGGGAATTGAACCGGAGCTAGAGGGAGGACTAGAGACTCAGAGGAGGCAACAAGGAACAAGTTCCTGTCCATAGGTAGGTCAGGAACCTGTGGAGTCCTGTGGCAAGGTGGGAATTCCCCACTCAGCTCCACAGGGACCTTTCGGCTCCTGGCTGGCCCAAGCGGGAGCCCCAGAGCTCAGGAGCAGCTGTGAGCACTGGGACACCCCGGGAGCTGTGAGCCGCTCCGGGAGGATGGGCTGGGCTGCCCGCAATCCTGAACCGCGTCACTGCCAGGGAGCTGGCCTGCCAGAGGGGAGGGTGCCGGGTACTCACTGTGTCCACGCCGCCCGCGGTGAACTCCGTGATGTTGGCCTTGATGGAGTCCAGCGGCAGCTCCGCCTGCATGAGCAGCTCCGCCATGATCCCCGAATACTTCCGGGGCTGCCCCAGGCAGAACTCCTGGTAGATGTTCTGGATACACTTATCAGCTGGGGGACGAGCACGGGGTGAGCGACTCCTCCCAGCCGGGCTCACAATCCCCCCTCAACCCCAGGGCAGGAAACAAACCAGAGCCCCAAGCCTTAGGGGAAGGAACATGCCTAGGCCCAGGGGAGCAGAGCAGGCCGGGACCAGCCTCCGGAGCCTCAGAAACCCTGAGGAAGATGCGGGCTTCCCCCCTTTAGAGAAGGGGAACTGAGAGGGCAAGTGTCCAGAACCCCACAACTCCAGAGCCCCAGACAGAACCCAGGAGTCCTGGCTCCCAGCCCTCCCCCCAAACAGTCTCCCAGAGCCAGGAATGGAACCCAGGAGTCCTGGCTCAAGCTCTGAGGCTCTCCCCACTGGCCATTCTGCCCCAGGAAGGGGGAGAAAGAGTGTGGAGGAGCAAGGGGCCATGGGGAGTTTGCTAGAGGCGGTGACATGCAAGCCCCACGGTGCTCCTGCAGCTGCGGGACAGCCGGACGCAGGGGTGTGCTTTGGAGACGGGCGTGCAGTTGTTTTGCTGCTGGGAGCTGGTTACGTCTCAGGTGGGCAGATCCCGGGCAGACCCACAAGGAAAAGGAGATTCTTTCATTGCACCAGCGCTGGGCACAGTGCCCCAGCCTGGCACTGCAGGGGACGGGGCTGTGTGGCCTGGGGTGCGAGCTCATTGCTAAGAGGCGACATTCCAACCTGTACCGCGTGTGGCTGTCCAGGAAGGGGCCGGGTGTCCCTAGGGGAGCAGCACCTGCTGTGGGGCCCCAAGGCCTGTTGCAGGAGACCCCGCGGGGATGCCCCCTCCTTCGTGCCCTCTGCCCCCGGCTCACCATGCTTGAAGATGGTGTCCCAGGCCTCGATGTGGTCCCTCCACAGCTTGGTGTTGACCCAGCGCATGAGGCCCGGGGGGATGAAGAGCAGCGGCAAGGTGGTCCGCAGCATGGTCTCCACGGCACTGATAAACCTCTGCGACTCCGCGTTGGGGCTTTCCTCCAGCAGCCCCAGCCGCTCCCCATACAGGGCGTAGCTGCTTGCTGGCCGGAGGGGAGGGGGAACCGTGAATGGATCAGCATCGCCGTGTACAGCTCAGGGGCCGGGGTTAACCTGCCCCCACGCACGCAGCAGGGCGGAGCAGAGCCAGGAATCGAACCCAGGTGTCCTGGATGCTAGGCCACCCCCTCCTTCCCCCGACTGTCCCTTGGCTCCCTGCCAGCGTGTTCAGCGCCCTTCTACACCAAAACCACGTCAGAGAGCTGCTGGGGGCCAACCTGCCCCGGCTCACAAGGGGGCCGTCGACCGTTGTGTCCGTCTGGCTGGGCTTTGGGAGGCAGGCAGGAGGCCAGCCTGCACGGATCGGCAGGGCTGGGGCTGGGGCAGATGAGAGCTCACCCCGACCTTTGCCTGGTGCGGGGGCAGTTTGCTCGGAGTCCCTGGGCCTGGCTTGTCTAAATGGAGTAGGACGTGGGTACGCCGCACGCCTGGTCCCAGCTTCGTGCCCACCAGGAGCCGGGACCCAGGGACGAGCCAGGCAGAGCCCGGCAGGGGGCACCAGTGGCAACCCCACAGGGGCAGGGCTTTGCATTTCCCACATTGGCCACAGGGCGTCGCTCTGATGCCACGACCCCCGGGGCCATGGGGCGAGGACCTGGAGCCCCGGCATGGGCCGCAGCTCCCCTCGCCCACCTACCCTCCAGGGTGAAGCGGAACAGGTCGCTGTAGAGGTCGATGGTGAGCGAGCGGCGCGTGTTCTTGCTGATGCGCTGGTGCATGAGGGTGACAAAGTCCTGGGCCACTGCGTTGAGGAAGGGCAGGAATTTCCGGGTGCCCGCAGGGCTGATCACCTCCTTGTTGAGGATCAGGCGGTCCGAGCGCCACTCCTCCCCGTTCCTGCGGGCGGGAGAGCCAGCGAGTGACACTGCCCTCTGCTGGGGGCATCAGAACTGCCCAGGGGGTGTGTCATCAGCCCCGCATTGCCCCCAGCCTTGGGAGATTCCTCTTCAGCTCCAGGGGCAGGAGGGGCTGGGGGTGAGCACCGAGCGCCTGGCCCCCACCATCTGCAGCAAAGGGGCACGCGTGGGAGCACAGTTACTGTCAGAGCCAGGACATGCCACCTGGCTCCAGGGAGCAGAGCGCCCCCGCATGGCTGCGGCCAGTCACTGGCTCAGTTCTCACCTAAGCAGATCCTAGCTCACGGGCGATGCCCAGGGGGATGAAAGTTCCCCTGGGCCTGGACTACCCCTCCCCTCCCTCTGTCCCCGGCCTCCTCCATGCCTCTCCCCCCTGCCCCAGGCCTTGCCCTCCTCTCTGTGTCCTGCACCTCACCCCCACCCCATGCCTCTGACCCCCTCTCCTCTCCCCCTGCCCCAGGCCTTGCCCCTGCCCTCCTCCCTCTGTCCTGCATCTCATGCCCTGCCCCTCCCCAACTCCCTTTCCTCTGCCCCCCATCCTGCCCCCCCGCTGAGCGGCGGCCCTTACAGCAGGAAGATGCCACACTTGTGGTTGCGGAGCTGGCGGTGGGCGATCCAGGACTCGATGCCCATGCGCCGCGGGAAGATCCCCTCCGACTGGAAGAGCTGGGCCGCGTCTCGGGGCAGCAGCACGTTGACGCAGTTGTAGGTGCCCACGGTCTCCCTGTGGGGAAGAGTCCTGGCCTCAGCTCAGCCCCCGCTGCCCATCCCCCGGCCCGGTGAGCCCAGGCAACGGGGGCTGCGAGGTCGGACCCCCACGAGCAGAGAAGGTCATGCAGCCTCTCCCTGGGACCCAGGGGTCTGAGCGGCTCTCCCCAGAGCCAGCTAGGGAGGGTTCTCCCCTCCCTGCTTCAGGGCAGGAGGCCTTCGGGATTCCCACCCCTCTCCCAGCTGCTGGTCCCGCCCCTGCCTCCGTAGGCACCGGGGGGGTCACTCCCAAAGAGCTGCCAACTGCAGCTAACCCAGCTGCCAGGCCCAGCCCCAGCCTGAGGCCCAGCGCGGGCTCCCCTGGGCTCCGGATCCATCGCTCCAGAGTCCAGCACGCGCCCCTGAGGCCAGGCACTGGGTGGGCACCCGGCTGTGCCTGGGGAGGGGGCCTCCCCCAGGGTACTCGAGTGACATGGATTCCCCAAGGCTCTCTGGTGCCAGCAGCTGCTGAGCCAGGCTCGGTGCTGGTGCTTCTCCTGGTAACGGAGCTTCTCCGTGCAGGCGGAGCCTGCGCCATCCAGAGCCCGCAGGCAAGTGCCCTAGAGACGGACAAGCCTCTGCCAGCCCCTAGCACTTCCCAGCCCATCCCCTGCCTCTTCCCAAGCTCCGGGAGTATTGCATAGGGCCAAGGATTCCCACACTGCTGCGTGCGCTGGTGCGGAAGCTGGGGCCAGCGCTCTGCCGCCTGACCCCAGCAGCCAGCTCAGGCCCTGAAGCATGAGAGTTGATTGCCCCCCCCTCTCTCCAGAGAGGGAGGGTTGTGGATTTATCCTTTACAAAATATCCACCGTGGGTGTCTGACTCCCATCTCCTGCTGCAGGGAGTTCCAAGGGTTGGCCCTGCTGGGCATGTCATGCCAGTGGCTCTGAACGGAAGAGGGGCTGGTCCCTCTGGAGGGAAGTGCTGGGACACCTCAGCCGGAGGGGGGTGGGGAAATGCAGCCCTGAACCTGGGGGCACAGATGGGCTGATGGAGCTTCGCCATCTCCAACGTCACGGATCAGTCCGGCGCCTCCCGCCCCAGTGCCCCGGCCTCACCCAGCGCCGCTCGGTCCCCGGGGACCGGTCCAGGAGCTGCCGGATCTGATCCTTCGGCTCCAGGAGCGGCCGCTGCGTTTAGATCCCGGGCAGGGCCCCCGAGAGCCCGCCGCAATGGGCTGATCGCGGGGCCGGCAGACACCCCCACACTAGCGGGACCAGCCAGCCTGGGGCGGGCCCAGCTCCCCCTTCCAGCGGGCAGGGCGCTGCTGGGAGCGGGAGAAACCCGCGCTCCCGGAGCGGCCGCCCCCCGGAGAACCCAGGAGTCCGGCGGCCCGCGGGCCGCACCTGTAGATGGGCCCGAGGCGCTGGAAGTTGCGCTGCATGACCAGGTGGAAGCGCGGGAAGCTGTTACTCCGCCACAGGCGGTACAGGCTGAGCCAGGCGTTGCGGCCGCTGCGGGGGATGGCTTCGTAGGGCAGCGGCCGGGCGGCGGCCGGGACCGGGGCAGGGGCCAGCGCCGGGGCCGTGGAGCTGCGGGCGGCCCCCGACGGGAGGCAGCGGGAGAGGCGGCGCTGGGCGGGCCGCTTCCAGAGCTGGCTCGGCGGGCCCATGGCCGGGGCGCACGGAGGGTCCGCGGGGCTCGCTGCGCAGCCGGTGCCCGGCTCGCCCCTTAAATCCCCTGGGACCGCCCCGCCCCGCCCCGCCCCGCCCCGCAAGGACACGGCCACGCCGAGCGCCCGGAACGGGCTGGGCCCGGCCCCCGCATCCCCCTTCGCCCGCC